CTACCAACGTAGTGTATATTCCTAAGAAGTCAAAGTCACCAATAATGGTTATCAATGGTTATCAATGCTTGTTAAATAGAGGGCCTCCCATCAGAAGAAGATTGATGCCTCAGGTACCTACCCCACGATTCGCGGCAGCCAGCAATGATCCGGGCTCAGGCACACGGACTTGTGACGGTCGCACAACGGGACCTACATTAGCATGGCATGCTACAAGGCGCGGCTTATGCGACAAGAGCAGTGTCTGCCTTGACATTGTCTCAGTAGAGATGCTATGCCCTTATTCACCCTGGTTTTCATAGGTAGGTGCAATAGAGTATAGGAGCAAATGCTTCCAGGCTGGCTGGTAAACGGACCCGCTGCCAGGGGCGGCTAGTCTGCCTTGATTTCGGTCCAGGAACCATTTAAGAGTCAACGGCTACAAATCAAGTCGGACCACCTATCAATAGTGCGGGATAGCAGAGAGTCGGATCGGGGTCTCACAGGCATCCTTGGCGGTCGAGGAGTGATGAGTTGTGCGACCAGCGCGTGTTCCTTATTTAAGCCGCGCGCGCACCTCTGACGCAACGGTCTCAAAGGGGGGTTCTCAGCTCTTAGGCTGCATGTTCGGCTGCATCCAATTCGACCTCTCCGTGTCTGTCTAGCATCATCCCGAATCTTTTGTCGGAGCAGTCCTCCGGTCAAGTTAATATTGCAAAGCAGTCCTCCTCTTCTGCCCAGCTCAGTCCTCGGCCTTCTGTGACCCTTGGAGCCTTATCAATTGCCGAAAGGTATTCGGGCGGGTCAGCAGCCTTGGACAGCTCATTAGCAGTGCAGAGGTTCATCCGCAGCAACTGTACTATTTGATTTCCTATCAACATTATTGATCATCATCTTATATTCTTATCTTCTCTCTCCATCAATCTATTGAGCTGGTAGCTTATCGTAGACAGCATGAAGCTCTCAATAGCTCTTGCACTCGGTGCAACGGCTTCGACGGGGGTGTTGGCTGCCGTGGTACCGCAGCAAGAGCCGCTGATAACCCCTCAAGATCCCCCAACTCATCACCATCAGGAGAAGTTCTTAATCGAGCTGGCTCCCTATCAGACAAGATGGGTTACTGAGGAAGAGAAGTGGGACCTGAAACTGGTATAGCAACATTCCCCGTTTCGTTATTGTCACGATAGCACATCTTACTAATATCTCGTTGGATGCTCCTTAGGATGGCGTTAACTTCATCGATATTACTGAAGAGCGAAACACCGGGTTTTACCCGACATTGCATGCCGGTAGCTATGTTCACTATCCGTCCACGATGAAGCATGCAGAGAAGGTGGTCCCCCTTCTCCGGGGTCTCTCCAAGGATAACATGGAGCAAAACCTCAACAAGTTCACCTCCTTTCACACTCGCTACTATAGGTCGTCCACTGGTATCGAGTCTGCCAAGTGGCTATATAGTAGGGTTTTCGATGTCATTGAGCAGTCAGGTGCAGCAAAGTATGGCGCGACTGTGGAGCAGTTTGCTCATTCATGGGGCCAATTCAGTATCATTGCTCGCATCCCAGGCCAGACCAACAAAACTGTCGTCCTGGGTGCCCATCAGGACAGCATCAACTTGTTTCTCCCCTCTATCCTAGCTGCACCTGGTGCCGATGATGACGGAAGTGGAACTGTGACTATCCTCGAAGCTTTGCGTGGTCTGCTGCAGTCAGACGCCATTGTTCGGGGCAACGCTTCCAACACTATCGAATTCCACTGGTACTCGGCAGAGGAAGGTGGCATGCTTGGTTCGCAGGCCATCTTCTCTCAATACAAGAGGGATAAGCGAGATATCAAGGCGATGCTTCAACAGGATATGACCGGCTATACTCAGGGAGCTCTGGACGCCGGTCGTCAAGAAGCCATCGGGATTATGGTCGACTACGTTGATGAGGGACTGACACAATTCCTCAAAGATGTCACTACTGAGGTAGATTCTGTCCCGCTTCTCTTCTGTTGAAGACATATGACTAACGATTTCTGTCAAAGTATTGTGGTATCGGCTACATCGAAACCAGATGTGGCTACGCCTGCTCGGACCACACATCCGCAAGCAAATATGGCTATCCCGCAGCTATGGCGACGGAGTCCGAAATGGAGAACAGCAACAAGAGGATCCACACGACTGATGACAGCATCCGGTATCTAAGCTTCGATCATATGCTGGAGCATGCGAGGTTGACCCTTGGCTTCGCTTACGAGCTGGCTTTTGCTCCATTCTAATGTCCTTCATGATTTTGCGTTATACGGAACCAAGCAGATAATTATGGCTAAGTAGTGAGGCTCATATGTTCAGGTTCCTGATGTCGGATTTAATTGTGGCATTGAATGAGGCTACAGAGCAAACCAATTCACCATTCTGTAATGGAATAGATGTCTGAAGTCAAGTGTCTGCAAGTGACCCTGCCTATATATTACAGATCAATTGGATTGGTTTTGTGGATGCGAAAACAAGCCTGCGACTGGGCTTTCTATTATTAACATCCTACTTCGTACCAGCAATAGACTCATACATTCACTCCGAACAAACGAAATACCGGTGACTCTTAATGGGTGGCGTGATGATAGTCTGCAGAATGGCCCGATAAGATAAACGAAGGAGATCCGACCATACTCGATTAAGTCACACTAGCCTGAAACAGAAAGACGGTCACTCCGCCCGGGGCGATCACTTCCACTGGCTTCATGTTCGAGTCATTCCTGCTTTTGTTTCCTCCTTGTTACCACTACTTTTGCCCCTTCAGAACAGATCCTGACACGAGGAATTTCGCTCTTTAGACCATCTAATTTTTACATACAAATGCTTTGACTGAATTGGCAAAACTTCGCCGGTCGCTCCTATCTATCGCCTACGTCACCAGCGGTGCCCCTCCAAGGAAGACCCCACCATCAGACCTTGGATCCGATAATAGTCGGTGTGTGATCTCGGAAGACGTTGCAACATCTTCTCTGAGCCTCCGAGTATCGTTGATTTCGAGACGACTGAAAAGAACGCTTAATTGAGGCGAACTGCATCCCAGAGATCTCAGCGTAAAGGATCCTGGCTAGATAACCATTTGAAAACTCAAAATCTTATCGAGTGGTACGGTACATACGGCTACCATGGGATCCACCAACCCCTACGCAAAGGAACTTCAGATCGCCTGTCTCACAGTCCAGAGAGCCACGCTCCTGACGAAAAAGCTATTGGAAGCTGTGGACAAGGGGTCTTTCGACAAGAATGACGCCACCCCAGTGACAATTGCTGATTTTGCTGCACAGGCATTGATCATCGCTGCCATTCACCGTGCATTCCCCGACGATGAGTTTGTCGGCGAAGAGAGCTCAGAGGCTCTTCGATCCGATCCTGCTCTCCTTGACAGGACTTGGGAGCTGGTCTCCTCTACGCGCCTGTCAGACGAGGAAAGCGATGCGCTACTCTACGCCCCGAGCAGCAAGGAGGAAATGCTTGATTTGATTGACCTCGGTGCTCAAGGCAACTGTAGCAAGCAGAGCCGTGCCTGGGTTTTGGACCCCGTTGACGGCACAGCAACCTTCATTCAGGGTCAGCAGTACGCTGTTTGTCTGTCACTGGTGGAAAACGGCTACCAGAAGGTTGGCGTTTTGGGCTGTCCGAATATGAACCTGGAGACGGGTCGCCTACATGAAAACATCGTTGACCGAGATGGCTACGGGCATCAAGTATTCGCTGTTGCCGGACAAGGCGCCTTTATTCGGCAAATGGGAACGGGAGCTCTCCTCCCCTCGCGCAAGATCGAGCCAAAGGCGCAGATTACGGAGCCTAAAGATATCGATTTTGTGGATTGCGTGTCAGCAACATCATCCGACAGGAACATGCATGCCCGCCTTGCATCGCATTTAGGCGCACCTTGGCCGGCCTCAACAGATCTCTGGGCCGCGCAGCTGCGATACATCGCCATCGCAGTTGGGGGCTGTAATGTCATGATAAAGATTCCGCGTAACCCTTCTTATCGGTCGAAGATTTGGGATCATTCAGGCGGCATGTTGATTGCCGAAGAACTCGGTTGTACAGTTAGCGATCTGGCGGGTAATCCAGTCGACTGCAGCTTGGGCAGAACCCTGTCTGGTTGTTACGGGATGATCGTTGCACCTTCGTCCATCCACAGCCGGCTCGTGGAGGCAGTGAAACAGATCATGTAAGACAAACGGTTAATCCGGGGTCTGGGTTGGCGGATGAGCTGTCTCAACAGTCCCCGCTTACGGTTTTTGCTTTCCCTTCGGAGCCACTAGTTTATTGCACCACCTAGTGTTTGATGGAAGAGAAAGGCTACGGATTAGTATGCCCTCGCTCTGCAGCTCCCAAGTGGATTGACAGGACGGTTCGTGCATGAGGGCCAGGATTACTTGTTATGCTGCCACAAGACAAACTACACACCCAGCCGTATTTGCGCGGAGATGCATTTGAAAAGGGTACTCTTGCTGCACTTTGCCTGATTACTGGCGGAAGAGACCCTCGGCTGCATGCGCCAACAGGACCGTGCACTGATCGACGACGTGGGGACGGCGATCAATGGCATGAGAGGACCATTAATGACGAGATGGCGATGATGGAAGGAGGGCAGGAGCATGCAGTGACTCTATAATGCGTTTTGTTTGCATGTGTACCACTGTTAGCGTTTTATCACGTCTTTGGATGTTGGATAGAGATCGATACCTTCTAGGATGATGTCATAGATACTAGTCGTCACCTCATTGTGCTGAACCAGGGAAGAGGCCCCCACATACCGTAGTTAGACCAGCTTCAAGCAATGAGCTAAGCAAAGAAGAACATCTGAGAGACGAGTAATACTACCCAACACGACATCCGGAAGCACGGCAGTCCCGTGATGGCTGAGAGACTGGCCAGTGAGAGACGCGAAAGGCTGTCAGGAGATCAGGCAATGCGGGGGAGCTGCCGTCTTCCTTCCAATGACATCCTCCAGTCTCCTTCAACTAAAGTACTTCTTCTGCTTCTGCTTCGTCGCTGCAAGTCCTTCACCTCTGCTGCGCTACGCAATATAACCGGATGTCCATCCCCTCTCCCCCGGTCGGGATCAGAGTTCGCTCTTCTTGATTCTAGGTCTCCTTCGCCCATTACCCTAACCATCCCTACCTCTTAATCCATAGCAGTCGCTATGTCAACCTGTGAGTTCCTCCCCCTTGATTCCTAAGACACTCTCGCCTGCAATACACCGTTGTTCATCAGTCACTGACTGGGAAATGTTCTAGATAATCCATTCGCTAGGCGAGAGTCTCACGGCCGGTTCTCACTTGGAACCTATCGCGTCCTCGTTCCCTTGTCGTGGCTGCTCGTCGTGGTCGTCGGCATCTACTACTCCTCCCATGCCCCCGATGTCAAGCACGGCCATACCATCTGGAAGCAAGCCAACAAGCACATTACTCCGTTTAGCTTGAGCACGGTTATTTCTGGTATTTACTGGTAACTATATCCGTCATTTTTCATACGGCTGCTTCAACAATAGAGCTACCTACAATGCTCTATGTTTACCAACCTATTCTTACGACCTGCTATTTAGGATCATAACGCTCCTGTCTCAAATCGGCTTCGTCTACCATCTTTTCTCCAATGACGCGGTGACGGCCACCGCCGCCGCCAATGTAGGGTCGCACTTCATCCTGAACAATCTGTTCATCTTTGCCTGGATTCTTCTGTGGACTCGCAACCATTTCTGGGGTTCAGAGATTATCCTGATCGCGCACTTCCTGAACCAAAAGACGACCTACTGGCGGCATCGTACACTGCCACCTCTTGCGCATTTTGCCGCCGTCGCAGCGCCCTATGCCTGGACTCTGATCACGCTCTTCTGGAACGGAGCCGTTGCCGTGAACAGCAACAGCCTGCCAGCGAGAATCGTTGCTAATGTGTTCATCTGGGTGCTATTCGCATTGGGTTCCACACACATCCTGTCTACCCAGGATGACATTCTGGGTTACAGTCTGAGTCTCTTGACGCTGGGTATGTATTAATACAAGGTTTTCTGAGAGAAATGCCGTCGCAGCGCTAACACAAATCTGCAGCATTGGCCGTCAAGCAGTTCGGCGTCAAGATCATCTCCCTGCAGTGGATCTTTGCCATTGTTATCTTTGCCGTCTTCTTCGCCGAGTCTCTCTATATCTCCTTGACGAAGTACTCTGGGCGCAACATCTTCTTCCGTAGGGCTGGACAGCCAGCGCCGGTGACCGATCGCGAGAGGGAGCCGTTGCTCAACGACTCGACCCAGCCAGCTCAAACTGCCTAGTTGAGAGTATGAGCCAAACGCCGCTTCTGCGCTTTTCGGGAAGCAGGTGGTTTCGCATACAGAGGATATCGCTGAAACGTGAGTCAGTTGAGTTTAATTTCAGAGTCACTTTTCGGGTCTTAGTGGGGGTTGTCCATCAATAATTGATTGTGCTCGGATAGTGCTGCAACTAATTTACTGCTGTAAGACTGGAGGAGTTATTCTGTTTCATTGAATTACAGAAAGTCGACATATGGACTATAAAATTGTTGATGTATTATGGCGGCGATGACCTTGTGAATTCGATGAACACATTATTTAGTGTGGTTGGGAAATTGATTTGTCTCTACTCTGATCATCGGCATTCTATATTTATTTATCATCATGATCAAGCTACAAGTGAGCCACAGCTAATACCCTGTAAATAGTACATCGTATCCGGGTACGCGAAAGTGGGATGGGCTGGACTGATGTTTACGACCGAGTTCTCCACAGCAGATCGGGTTATATATCGCTGGTAATTGTAAACCTGCCCTAAACATGGACTGTGATCAAAGGATTATATTGCGTCCCAAGACCGTGCAGCGCTCCTTGAACCCGCACGGACCGCAAATCAAAGCCAAGCTCCACGGTTCGATAGTAGAAAATGCAGTTGGCGAGGGGGTGATGGTGGTGGTGCCTGAGGAAGCGGGCGGGATCTCACCCGTGGAAACCACACGGGAGGAAATGGCCAGAAAGTGGAAGTAAGGACCAGAACTGAATGAATATCCGGAACATCGCCAGGAACCAGACACCCACAATGACAAACAGAGCCAATGACCATTCAAATTGGGATTCCTCATCTCTCCTAGCACGATCACTCGTGCCATGCGATGTCTCTCAGCTGCAAGGATGGTCGCCCCGCTCGCTCCTCCCAAGCTTCCGTTGCCCTGGTGATATCCACGCTTTCCAGGCGCTGCTGTTCGTCAGCGCAGTCTGATTACGACGGCAGTTTAGGCGCCCGTATCCAAGGTGATTTTCTTAAGAAGTGCCTGGGGCGGAGCTGATCGGATCTGTTTGACTTTAGCAACCTGCCATCCTTCAGTATTTGACGCTCTGTGTATGTGCGTTTGTGGTGTGGATCACAACCTTTGTTTATAAGGACGCTCGACTTTCGCATCCGAGGTTCTACTCTACTTCTTCAAACCGTTATCCGATCGCTTGGTTGCCCCGATACATTCCTCCAGATCTCTGACATACTTTGGTTTGTTTACTGGTACTACCAGACAACCAACTGCCCCCTGTGGATAGTAAGTGGCATTCCCCATCCCCCCGGGTCTGGAATTGTCTGGACAATGCAAATGTGCTAACCGTGGAACCCAGTACCTCTAGGAATCCATAGACCAGTACTATCTACGTCCCTTGAGTTGAGGTCATCGTAACCGCTGGGGCCGTAACCACACAGATACCTGAGAAATCGTTTTGCTCCACCACTACGTTTGATCATTGGATACTATGCGCGATTGAGTTACGAGCAGATAAACATGAACAACTCGTCGCGGATGTATGTGCCGGCGCATAACCAGGAAGAGGAGCCGCCGGCATATGATACGTACGGAGACCCATACTATGCCGAACAGGATTCTCCTCCGGCAGCATCCCGTGCGCATGGAGCTACTATGCGATTGCTGCCCACCAGCACGATTGTAGAAAGTGATTTGAGTGCCAACACGGGAGTTAGCTCAGAGTACCACTATGGGGATCCTTTCGTTGATGACGGAGAGTAAGTAGTAGCCTTTCGTTCTTCCTTTGCCCTTTATCCCACTGAGCTATGGCTTCCGGCATTCCGATGACCTTGTTTGGTATCTGCCCTCCGGCGTGGAGCTCCATACCATCTACGCTTGTTGACATGGTCAATGCTTTTAAAACCGCTGTCTGGGGAAAGCTCAAGTCTGGTGACTGAGAAATACTCATTCAATTTGCATGCCGTGATTTTCCTGGCCAACACTGTCTCCGCTTTTTTTTTGCGTATATCTGAGATGTCTATGGACATCCGGCACAACTACTTTCAACATGATATACGAAATGATGGTTATGAAGCGGTCTGCTAACTCGCGTGCTCAAAACAACCGCAGAAGCGAACGCCAGCGATACTATCCCTATGAACCAACCGAGTCTCCTTCCCGGCCTGTATCGAGTCTGGGAAATGTACCAACCATTCCGCCTCCAGCAGCATCAACGGTAGATGTTCCACACTATACCTCTCGTCCGGGCTCTCCTACCCGGCCTTGGTCACCTAACCGTGTCGGGAACTGGGCCAGACCTCCAGCTCCCCCCTCGGTCGCAAGCTCGCAATATGAACGTGCAGATCTCAATGGTAGTCCACGACCGGGCACCCCCAGTTCGAGATACGGGGGAAGCCCTCGCCGTCCGTTGCCCCCAGCACCGCTTTTCTCCGCCCCGGGTGGGCATGATGCTAATATCCCGATTAATGACGCGGGCGACGATGATGTATTCGGTGGTGGTGGGCGGACGATTGACCCTAGGGCCGACAATCGAGCCAGCATGCAGTCTTTTATGAGCGAGTCTACGATTATCACAGATGAGAAGGATGCCATGTCGAAAGTCGACTTGGACGATGAAATGGAAGAAACAGATGAGATGGTTGACCCTAACATACATTATGGTCCAGCCCCGGAAAAGCAGAGCCGCCGAGGTGTTCGCGAGGCTCAGATGTCCACGAAGGAAGTCCAGCTGATCAACGGTGAACTGATTCTGGAGTGCAAGATCCCAACTATCTTGCACTCTTTCTTGCCTCGCCGGGATGACCGAGAATTCACCCATATGCGGTACACTGCGGTGACCTGTGACCCCGATGATTTCACGCAGCGAGGCTACAAGCTGCGCCAACAGATTGGCAGCACTATGCGTGAGACCGAGCTGTTGATTTGTATCACGATGTATAACGAGGATGAGATCGGCTTCACTCGGACCATGCATGGTGTGATGCAGAATATCACCCATCTCTGCTCGCGATCCAAGTCCCGTACTTGGGGTAAGGATGGTTGGAAGAAGATCGTGGTCTGCATCATTGCCGACGGTCGTAAGAAGGTGCATCCGCGGACCCTCAATGCTTTGGCGGCTTTGGGTGTTTACCAGGAAGGTATCGCCAAGAACGTCGTCAACCAGAAGCAGGTCAACGCACATGTCTACGAATACACGACGCAAGTGTCGCTCGATCCCGACTTGAAGTTCAAGGGTGCTGAGAAGGGCATCATGCCGTGCCAGGTGCTCTTCTGCTTGAAGGAACACAACAAGAAGAAATTGAACTCACACCGTTGGTTCTTCAACGCTTTTGGCCGAGCACTACAGCCGAACATTTGCATCTTGCTCGATGTGGGTACTAAACCCGCGCCTACGGCACTCTACCACCTCTGGAAAGCGTTCGACCAGAATTCGAACGTCGCTGGAGCGGCTGGTGAGATCAAGGCCGGTAAAGGCAAGGGTATGCTCGGTCTTTTGAACCCTCTGATTGCCAGTCAGAACTTCGAATATAAGATGTCCAACATTTTGGACAAGCCGTTGGAGTCGGTCTTCGGATACATTACTGTGCTTCCCGGAGCGCTCAGTGCGTATCGGTTCTTCGCACTGCAAAACGACGCGGAGGGTAACGGCCCTCTGAACCAGTACTTTAAGGGAGAAACACTACACGGACAGGATGCAGATGTGTTCACTGCCAACATGTACCTGGCAGAAGATCGTATTCTCTGCTGGGAGTTGGTTGCTAAGAGGGAAGAGCGCTGGGTCTTGAAGTTCGTGAAGAGCGCTGTTGGTGAAACCGACGTGCCAGGTAAGTCTTGAAGACGAGCGATCGATGTAATTCCGCTAACAATCTTGCTAGACTCTATTCCCGAGTTCATCTCACAGAGAAGACGTTGGCTGAACGGTGCCTTCTTCGCGGCCGTGTACTCTATCGTCAACGGCAAGCAACTTTGGAAAACGGACCACTCGCTACCTCGGAAGATTCTCCTGCAAATCGAGGGTGCCTATCAATTCATGCAGTTGATCTTCACGTACTTTGGCTTGGTATGTCTTATGATACCCAGGTACCCGAGAAAACCTCGCTGACATTCGACTCACCTCTAGGCAAACTTCTACCTGGTATTCTACTTCATCGCTGGCTCACTTACCGACGACAAAATCGATCCGTTTGGTCACCATATCGGCAAATACATATTTGTGATTTTGAGATACGCCTGTATTCTGGTCATGTGTCTGCAGTTCATCATTTCAATGGGTAATCGACCGCAAGGGTGAGTAATCCATACCAGGACAGTTCATGGGTAGCTAGCTAACCTCAACCCTTGCAGTGCCAAGAAGCTATACTTGTCCGGTATCATCGTCTACTCGATTATCATGTTCTACACGATCTTCTGCACCATGTACCTTGTGGTGATCGAAATCCTAGCACGAATGGGCGTTGATAGCGATCTCGAAGTGAGCGACGGCCTCTTCGTCAATATCGTCATGTCCCTGTTGTCAACAGTGGGCTTATACTTCTTCGCCTCCTTCCTCTACCTCGACCCCTGGCACATGTTCACCTCCTCAGCAGCCTACTTCATCATGTTACCCAGCTACATCTGTACCCTTCAGGTCTACGCTTTCTGTAACACGCACGACGTGTCCTGGGGAACAAAAGGTGACAACGTCCTGAACATGGATTTGGGAGCGGCACGCGTCATCAACGGCACCACAGTCCAAATCGAAATGCCCTCCGAACAACTCGACATCGACAGCGGCTACGACGCCGCGCTCCGCAACCTCCGCGACCGCGTCGAAGTCCCCGAGACCCCCATCACCGAGAGCCAAATGCAAGAAGACTACTACCGCGCCGTCCGCACATACATGGTCTCCATCTGGATGGTAGCCAACGTCGTTCTGGCCATGGCCATCTCCGAAGTATACGGTCCCGACTCCGGCGGTACGAACGTCTACCTCGCCATCATCCTGTGGTCCGTGGTAGTGTTGGCCCTTATCCGTGTCATTGGATCCACCACGTATGCGATCTTGCTTGTCGTACAGAAGATCGTCGAGGGGAAGACCAAGTTCGAGGCGGGTAATCTGGCGAATATGAGCCATGTTTCTGGCTCGAGCGGTGG